CATTTATTTATTCATACTTATATTGATAATATTTATAATATTTATCGCCACCGCCATACTGACGAGGTTCGGTTGTGGTGTTGAATTAACACGTATAAGACTTAATGGACCGAAACGTCTTATCTCACTCTTATGTCTTTCTCTCATGCTGTAATCTATCGAGTTTTCGCCACTTCGGTTTCCAAGGTCAATCTGGTTGCTACAATCGCTTTACTACTTACTTTCGACAACTTAAGAATGAAAAAGCGCCACTGCCTTTTCGTTTTGAGATTTTGTGGACCCAGTGACTATAAACTGAGGCATTTAGTAATTCTTCGGTGCACAACTTCAAGTGAGCGTGATATTCGAAAACCAATTATAGTAACGGTTATAAAACAAAAAAAAAAAAAAATCAAACCTGGCGCAGAAGAAGCCACTGTTCCACCCAAACCTTTAATTTTCTCTTCCAATTCACGCTTCTTATTTTCCACATCTTTCTGTGACTTCGGCACTAAAATTTTGCCCAGTAAAAATAACATATCCAACACCTTTTAGCAAAAAACCTCCCTCCCCCGCCCCACCCCCCCTCTTGCATATCCCCACAACTATTACAATCTCACATCATGTGGCTGGTTGTGGAGATTGGTGAGGGAGTCACACTGACCAAATTTCATACCTATTTCACTTCAGGACGAAAAATGGCCAAAAATTTTCCTATTCTCACACCGACATATGTGATAACTAACACCAGCAACGCCAACTTTTTCACATGTAGCCGTCCCTGCAGTCTTTTTCCCTCATTTTTTTTTTCAAGCATCTCGGCCCTACAACGGTTTAGCGGCTTCCGACGAAACAGATTACGTCGAACAGGAGGTGGGTATTAACTGAAGAAATGCAGTTCCGGACCGGAGTTTCGCGCAGTTGAACTGGACATGTGGGGTTATCCAAGTAATATCAATGGCATGCGATCTTTTTTATTTTTTTATTCCTTCGAGCTAACTGCTCAAAAATTTTACACCAAAAACACTCCCCTCTCCCCCTCCCTCCCCCCAAAAAAAAAAAAAAACCAAAAAGTTACAAAAAGCGGGAAATAAAATTCCAGTAACGTACTGTAGGGCTTTCGCGCTTTTTTCTTCAAACATGCAGCAACAAATGCTTCCAATTCGCGCAATGTCGTTGGCTTCAGGGTTTCAAAATCGATTTCAATTTCTTCCGGATTGAAACCCGGTAGCTGCTCTCTCGATTCGATTATGCTCACAACCTGAAAAAAAGAAAAAGCGCTTCTTTTTATATCAAATCACACCAACAAAAGAAGAAATTTGCAATAAATGAATTCCTTTTTCGTTTCAATCAAAGTCTGGACTATCACTATTCAATCACAAACGTGTAAACTTCAGTATCTGCAAACGAAAAAAGAGCAAATTTTGAGCAATTCAACCTCTGAATCCACATGACCTATTAAGGCAAGTCGAGAAAGTAATTTGGCAAAGTGCCAGCACACCAGGAAAAGTTCAAAATTCTCGGCGTCTGCGCAAAACAAGGCTCAGTAATCGGATGCACAACCAAAATCCTTCCCCCTCCCTCCCCTCTTCGGGCAGTCAATTCTAACTTTTTTTCCTTGACCGATAATCTTCTCGGCACCATAAGCCTAGCACAAAAATACAAAAAAATTATTAGTAACAAAAAAAAGAAATATGAAAAAAGCATACACTGCTCAGCTTGTCGCCAGGTAATTTATTGATATCAAGCGAGAGCT